TCATGGCTATAAGCTTACAGCTCTAGTAGCTCTAACTTATGATGTTTACAGAAGGAGGATAAATTTATTAGAGTCAAATAAATAGGCTAGATAAACAAATTTAAATGGACACTAAGTAATCTTACTTTTACGTGATGAACCAGGATACATTTATCAAAATCCCAGTAATTTACAATAGCACACACTGCTAAAGGCTGACAACAAATTTTAACTAAGTAGTATGCTGCATAGTTACTATCGTAGGAGCAGTAATTAAAAGAAGTCGACGTTCGATTCCCTCTCGTTAAAGCTTATTGCCTAACTATCTACAACTGATATGACATCTTGGTTGTGTCCACCTCGTTTTACACCGCCATCATCACCGCTTTGTCCACTGATGGTCGCGTGTTTGAGGCTGGGCAGTTTGCCAGCTGGCTGGTCGAGTGTTTTCGTGATTCAACGGACGTTTTGATCGACTAATCACAGCCTTCTGATGTCTCTCTCGAGTCCTTGGGTAGAGTCACGGTCAAGTCTGTATGTCTTGGTCTTGTAGCTTTAGATTAATCAAATAAACCTATTCAGATCTGCTGAAGGTTTAGAGGAGTACGCTTTAATGACCACTCTAATGCAGCGTCTTATAAAAAAAGTGGGATGTCACTATTAAAAATTGCCATATGTAAATGAAAGTAATGTAAACTAGATAAACTTAACCTAACTTAACCTTACTTAACATTACTTAGGCCAAAACCTAGCCTGTAAACTAACCTGGCGTAACCTTACCGTACCTAAACTGGCAAAACTCTAACCTATTTGGATCCTAATACCCTATAACCTAAACTATAAAGCTAGCCTAACCTATAAAGCTAAGCTAACCTATAAAGCTAACCTAACGTTACGTAACCTAACCAAACCTGATCTAACCTTACCTTACCTAAACTGGCCAAAACCTAACCTATTAGCTTCCCAATACTGTATTCAATAACCTAACCTATAAAGCAAACCCAACGTAACCTGACCTTACTCATCTAGTTTGGTCGTATCCGAATCTATTAGCTCAAACCTAACCTATATAGCTAACTTAATCTAACATAACCGAATATAACCTGGCCTATAACTTGTATAACTTAACTTGCTTAGGACAAATTTTAACTGTTGTACCCCTTCTTAAAAAGATCCTTATTGTTATTTTACTGATGATAATGAATTAATTCAACAATCGTGCATAGCAATTTTATATCCGTTCGAAACTCGTTTTTACATACTAATGAATCCAACATTTGAATCGTAATAGCTAAACGACATCAACAATTATGTAGTAGTTTGTTAGGTTTGCCAAATCCTGTGGTAGACGACGAGGGACGCGAGATACAAATATTTGCACCTGACAGATAAGTGTGTTTGTTGTAACACGAGCCGCGCCGTGGCTGTGCTAACGTCAAGGTGATCAACTTGCTGTGTCGTGTCCTGTAGTAGTGTTGTCCATTGATTGAAATGTTACAACGTTTACGAAAATGTTAAAATACTAAGTGATTGGCTCTTGTTGTTTGTTAACGCCGTTAATTTTTTTTTTCAAGGTAATCGGGATCAAACATCCATGGAGGCGTGCTATATAATCACTTAATAATCACTTATAATGATTAATTATATGAACTTATTATAATCACTTAGTAATCCCAATAATTTTGTGCATGCCTTTTTTGTTATTGCTTTTTTTCTGGTGGAGATGACGATACTATACCGACCACACCTAATAATAATAACCTAACCTAACCTATGGGTGACTAGGTTAGGTTGGTGAGATTTTGTTATTTAAACTATGGATTTGTATCTTATTTGGAAGTCGATTTATTATCGGTGTGGTCGGTATAATCAGTATAATAGGAAATTACCGAGATGACTACGTCTACTGTTGTCACACTGTTTTTTTACAGTACTGTACTGTAGTACAGTACCAAAAGACTACTGCAACTCTTTGCGTTCTCATCCCGTTTCGTATAATTTCCTCAATCCCGATACCACGAATACTGTATTTGAACAAAAACGGTATGGACCATACACATAAACAAATTATGTCACTGGCCCGAAAGTTAACGTAATTTAACATTACTTGAGTGGAACTGTCCAAACCACATGTTAATGTTATTAGTAGGCTACTGTATAGGAATTGGCCCAGTTGCATAATTTGTTTATGATTATGATCCATACCGCTTCTGTTCTAATATTTGTGCCCAATACTCATTGCAGTAACCATACTAACCATAGTATCGGTTCGATAGACCATAGACAGTATTGACCATGGACCAGTAACCATCATAGACACGTGATCTAATATCGATTCAAACATTAAACATACACGTTTTTAGGCAATAATGTATTGAGGAATTGTTACTGGCAAAAATTTGTGATCTATGATAACAGACATATAGTAAACCGATGTTTATCTTGAGAACAAGGTGTAAAAAATAGTGCTTTTGTTTGAGCGTACGTTGCTAAATAAATTTTTTCCCTACCTTGAAGTAATGGCCATGCTGGTGTGGAATGAGCTGTCAGATAGTGTTTAATATGCATGAGTTACACGTCTCATCTTGCCTACGTCCAGATTGTGATTGCAATGTTGACAATGTACGTACACTGTGGTAGGCAACAGACAACAGACAACAGCTATTAACAATACTGCTGTTCTGTGGTGGATGTACACCTATTGTACAGAAATACTATAATGATTTTTTTGGTTTTTTTGAACTAAGCTTGAAAATATTAAGTGACAAAATTCATTTTAAGGGTTGGTAAAGAAGTGTTTAATGTTGATTGGTCCAATGTGCTTTTTAAATGTGATGGATTGAAGTGTAATTTAATTGGAGGGACTCAAAGTAAAAAAAATTGAACCGTAAAACGATCAAGCTCTTGCTGAATCCGCGTGGTCTTTTAGTGTGATTATTCTCAATGAAATCAGGCAATTGTGAGGATAACGGCGACGCAATTGCTGAGTGTAAATGCTGAAATTCGGCAATTCGCTGAAAACTGAAAGGTATATTATAGCGTCTACAATATTTCCATGTAATATTTAAAATGTGCGTTTAACACCTAATTTTATTAAGAGAAGATTAACGATATGGAAGCCCTTTAGGCTACGAAAGTGCCAGTTGGTATAGCTCATACCCATATAAATTAGTGATTACTTCTATTAGTGGCATGATATATTTGGCTTTAGAATAACAGAACAGAAGTTTCTATAATTGATTTATTTTTTTTATAAATAATACACAGGCTTTTGGTTACAATATATACTTAATATTTTATGTTACATGTGGTTGGTAACTGGTATCAAGTGTTTTAAATAATAAAACTGAACCTTTCCTGAATAGTAATCGTATTTCTAACGCATAATATTATATTGAGCTTAGTTATTTTGAGTGTTGATGCAGTTTATGTTGTAATACGACTGAATTGACCTAAAAGCTGAAATACATACATTTCTTACACATGACAAATCTCACTAACAGTGGCCGATGGTGATAAAATTATTTTATGTGGTTGTTTTAAAAACATTTTATATTTAATAATAGTTGCAAACTTATGTTTGACCTGCATTGTGCATTTTTGACGACATGCATAACTTCATCTCGACGATCATGGGAACATCATCACATTTGCATTCAAATCTCACGTTCGCTGTGCCATCGTATGCATGTTCAGTCTAGTTTGTTTTACTTATCATATTGAAAGAATATTCGTTAAACAACTAATTTCATCTGTATTTTACAAAATATTAAATTCTACTTTGTTTTGTTTTTAGCGACAAACACCAACTGCCGAGAAAATCAACGTTCAAAAGAAGGTCAGTGACTATAGACAGCCTGTGGTGGATGTTTTGTTGTGGCTAACAGTTGCTCGTTTACTTTGGGGACTGTGGTGGAATGCTCGACAATTTACTAATAAATTATCATGGTTGCGGGTGGTTTGTTTTAACTCAATATTTTAGACTAAGTTCGATGAATAAACGCTGTCAATTGCTATGGCTTATTTATTTTTATTAGATAGTTTTTGTACTAGCGGATACAATTTCGTAGTATTTATTTTATTAGAATAATACAAATTTGCACACGGTAGCTTGCAACATTTTAAAACAATATTTTAAGTAATGGGTGTAAAATAATAATAGTTGACAAAGGAGGACTTTTATTAGAAAAGTATAAAAGCTATAGCTACAGTACTGTACTGTGTACAAATTAGGTGCCGATAAAATTAAAATATTAAAATGGTAAAATGGTAATATCTAATACAATAGCCTTATCTAATACAAGGCCGCGGCGTTGGTGTGTGGCAACGTCGCACCGGCCGGCCTATTGCCATGGTAATAAAATAACAGTAACAAACGTGTAAACATAAATATTGACGCTCCATTATGAACAGCTGTGTCACAGTAGGCCGGGAATGCGGCGTTGCCACTTATGTCTCGCTGCGATTTGTGGAGGTCACGGCTACATTATATCACAAAGTTGAGAGTAGAAAATATCCTCTTTTTTCTGTGGTAATCTAGTAACATATGAATCCAGCCCAAAAAGACCGACATACACAGTAGGATACGCACCAACAAAGTAATGAAATTATTCTTTCAACCTATACAAAACAGAATTAACTATCATTGGAGATTAATGGATTGGCAATAATTTACAACTCGGCACCGTTTGTTCCATCTAATTTTTATTCTTGTTTAATTAATACGTTGGAGTTATTATATAAACTAGCATTTGGATCTCAAGTTTACGTTTTAAATTTTGGTAAAACGTTTTGTACTCTTCACATCAATATTTTCATAGAAAAGCTCAGTTTAGGCTAAACTACAGTAGGTGCTGTTTAATACACACCTTTCAAACATTACAATGAAATATGAACATATTTGCCCAATGTTGGTCAACCATTGGTCATTTCCCAGCTGGTGCCAAGACTCCCCTCCTCCGGAGCTATTTTTGGCGCGTTCTTGCAACAGTTGCCCGCCAAACTGCAGTCTCTCGCGAGTCTACGATATACGACCATACGATAATGCGATGAATATGCGATACGCGAGTGTTGTGTGACAACCGTGTGTGTTTTGGATATACATATTATTTAAGTTTGAACATTGTGTTTAGGTATTTGGAAACCAGGTCTATACAAAGGTGTAGTTTTGATTTAAACAAAGGTTATTTGGTTTATTTGTTTATGTAGTGAACATGGCTATTTTGAATTTAAGTCAGTTAATCGTACAGTTCCATAAGTGGATTTCAATAGAAAGTAAAACAAAGTATAAACAATACAACGCTTTAAATTCAGTGAATAATATATAGAGCATTTTCTCTGTAGGTAAGGTTAGTTAAACTAACAGCAAATTTAAGGCCTGGTATAATAAACCCAGTTAAGTAAAGACATAGTGCAATGTTTTAAAATGTGTAATTAATTATAACAAACTTTGAACGAGTTAAGTTTCCTTCAATAATTTCTTGTAATAGATAGCCTTGTTCCTAAGCTAAAAACGTAATTTTTACAAATCACCCAAAAAGTGTCCAAAGTGCAAAATTAGTACAAAATAATGTAGGTATGATACTACATATACGCTTCTTTATGTCACTCCTTTGGCAATTTTTATACTATAAGCGTGTTATAATATAGTCCATTAAAATACCTAATATTCCTCAACTAAGATTAAGTTTGCAATCACGTTCAAACTAGGAAAGTACGGAATTTCAAATACATATAATACAGTAGTATATTCCTCTATTTGTTTAATATTTTCATTTCCCAAGAGTGCGCTAGACAATCAAAACTTATGTAGCGTCGACGTTTTAATTTGCACGTCATTCGAAAAATAGGACAGCGTATTGTAGTTTTGAGTATCAGTTCATTATGATGGAATGATATTCTTTTAGTTAAATAGGGGCGTTTAGTAAAGAGAATAAAATTATTAATAATTTACGAAAATATTTATTATAACGACAATGATAGAATTTTGTCCTGGACGTTTATAATAGTTGTAAATGTAGTTAGGTTTGCTTTAAGGCATGATACTTTTGAAAACATATTTATACTTATTAAATGTGTTAGTAAGTTTAGAGAAACCTTGGGCTCTTGCGCATCATATTTTAAAGCATGCAAACAAACATTTTAGTTAAATTTAAAATATGTCTATTTATCACTTTGCAATCTTAATATTGTGAAAGAAAAGTTGGATTATAAACTAATTATACAACTTCTTGAGTACTTGACGCCAAGTTAAGTTAAACTTCTGACACTTCCCCCTTTGGGTATACATTAATTGTTCACTAAATCATCTTTTCATTGGCTTTTTCACGTTTCAGTAAAATTACTTTTTTTTATTAGTCTACTTCGTGTATTTTTAATAGGCTTCGTCTATTGTTAATATTTATAGGGAAAATTGATGATTATTTTCTTTAAAGGATAAATCAAAGATTTAAGAAATTGTTGCCGTGATTATTTTTATAAATTCTTTGTCGAAACATAAAATTGTTCGTATTTTATATACCACCGTATTGCCAGTCTAAAAACTTTGTTATGTTACACCTAACCGCTATAAATTGTTATCTTGTATTAAGACTGTTTGCTAAAATATTAGTTGGCTTGTTGTTTATTTTATTTAACGTAATCCAGTTTTATTTGAACTTTTTTCTGTTCACCCCAAAACACCCTAAAAGTATATACAGGGTGTTTTTTTAAAAACTTGCATCTTTATTTATGTAAAAACCGCAATAGATAGAAATATGCAGTTTGCGGGAATCATCTATTGACGTAGGGGGACCAATTGTTTTGAATTCAACGTTACATTCACATTCCCCCCCTTTTCCCCCCCTGCCACCAACTTATTTTTTTTAAATAGCAAGGTACCCCTTGTGACATATCAAATAAAAGAGGATAAAAAAAGAAAATGTTTGATGAAAAAAAATTGAAAATCGGTTCATAAATTTGTGAGATATTCCCCCCCTCACCCCCCCCGGAACTGAATTTTTTTTTAATAGCAAAGTACCCCTTGTGACATATCAAATGAAAGAGCATGAAAAAAGAAAATTTTTGGTGAAAAAAAATTTAAAATCGGCTAATGAATTTGTGAGATAATCACCCCCCTTTTCCCCTACCCATAACTTTTTTTTTAATAGCAAGGTACCCGCCCTTGTGACATATCAAATGAAAAATAAATTTTGCCAAAATTTTTCTTTTTTCATGCTCTTTTATTTGATATGTCACAAGGGGTACTTTGCTATTTAAAAAAAATTAAGTTCCGGGGGGGTGAGGGGGGAAATATCTCACAAATTTATGAACCGATTTTCAATTTTTTTTCATCAAAAATTTTCTTTTTTTATGCTCTTTTATTTGATATGTCACAAGGGGTACCTTGCTATTTAAAAAAATTAAGTTGGGGCAGGGGGGAAAGGGGGGGGATGTGAATGTAACGTTGAATTCAAAACAATTGGTCCCCCTACGTCAATAGATGATTCCCGCAAACTGCATATTTCTATCTATTGCGGTTTTTACATAAATAAAGATGCAAGTTTTTAAAAAAACACCCTGTATTTAGCTATGCTATTTCGACGCACTCCTCTTTGAGTTTATGTAACAAGTACAATGTTCAATGCCTTCTTCTACCTATTTGAAGTATGTTTAAGTTTTATTTGATTCTGCTAATTAATCTTCCTAAATTGAATATTTACATTGACATCCTGCAATGGATAATTTTTTGCAGTTAATTTTATGGTAATTCTTTTCTTCAAACATAATTTTTCTCTTCATACGTCATCAGGTGATCACTATACAGCTCTCTGTTTATTCTTGTCTGAAATGTTACGAGGTTGCCTTTAAATGCACTTTTTTTCAAAAATATTCCAATGTGTCGTGTAGCTCTTTCTTATCTTTTTTGAGTTCAGTTATCCATTTGATTTTACAATTACAACTAATCTGTTAATTTCCTGCTGGTTTAAGTTTCATGTGTCCTAAGATGTCCCAAGAATCATAATGTACGTTTCTTTTCCATTGTGGGGTTTTCATTACAACGCTGTATCCCAGGACTTATATTTTACTCAATTTAGAATTTTTTAGTACTTGATCCAAATGACGGCATTGACCGTGTACTTGGTTGTTGATAGTGGGAAGTGGATGTGAGAGATTTGTAGACCTGTCTGTCAATCACCTTAGCACACTAATCGAGGCAAACTTCTGCAACGTTGGCTCCAAGTAGTCCCTTAACGCCAAATCTTGTCAATCATGTCAGTGGGTCGTATTTAAAGCCCTCGCGAAGGTTAGCGCTATTAAAGTTTTTATTCTAAAATTGCTATATGTTTTTATTCAGTTTTCGTTAACGATTTCAGTTCTCCAGGCAAAATTATTTACCTTTTTGTGATAGGCTTTCAAGGTAGATTCCTAAAGGTAGTAATTCTTGGTGTCGGGTGACGTAGATGAATACGTCGAAGATGTAGTAACCGACGTTTCGAGAAGTATTTTCATGGACTGACTGCAATGCGTTCGAAACGTCGGACACTTAAGTCTGTTTGATGGAACCTGTATCCTGCCCGGGTGTACCTGGAACCACAGACAACCGACCCTGGAACTTAGGCCTACCCATTGGCCGGGGAGCCTAAAACCATTGGCCAATACACAAAATGTAGATGGAAGGTCATGAGACAGGTCCCATCATACAGACTATACATCTTCGTCATTTTCATGTACAGCACTAACTAAGCAGCGGCCCTTATCGAACGACCAAGAATTACCTTTTAAAAAGTAATTTGCCATAGAAAAGAATATTATTATTGGACATACGTGAAACTTCGTCTGAAATACTGTAGGATTTGAAAAACTAAGTAACCTTTTTGTTTGTTATATGTGCATTTTCAGTTTTCAACTCACTATTAAACTGTATTTATTAGGGCAGGTTTCTGCTTAATCATACATTATTTAACTATAGGGCATGTTATGTTTATGCCCTATAGTTCTTGTGTTTACAAGAACAATAAAATTGCATTGATATTTCATTAGTACTAACTAACCTCGCAATCTATTAGTTTTCGTGATTTTTCTAACCGTTACGGAATGAAAATGGACAATCGTCGTGTAAAATGTAAATATTTAGTTTAGTGTACCACTATGCCCCATACGATGGTGTGGTCTTGAAACGCCCGTAGAGCAATAACGTATCTGGATTGCGAAGACAGTAAGCAACTAATGTATCTTTATGTATTTACACGCAATCTGACACGCTAAAAAGATTCAAATTTTATTGGAGCCACGATAAAAAATTGAAGAGTTGCAACTTCCAAATGATCTGTAATTAGGATCTCGAATTGCAGGCGTAAACGTTGAAATGCAATGAAGTCAAGATCGTCTAGATATTCGGTTGCTGCATTTAATTCGATTTGGAACCTCAAATCAGCTTAAACGAGCAGGATCGTCCTTGATGAATAATTTTACTCACGACTTGAAAAATAGCCTATTAGTGGGATGACAAGGTCAGTTGCGAAGGAAATCTGGACTATCGACTGTAGGTCGGCGATCGATAAAGATGAGGTGATACGCGATCATGTTTTGTAACTGGGTTAACTAGGGTGGTAAAATGTAGGGATAAATAAAAGTTATTGGATTAAGTTCAAATGTAAATGACGTCTAGTTTACTGTTGGTATTCCGAGGACGATTGATTTTGCAGCCTAAAATCAACCGGGATCGTATTTGATTGATTTTGTAATTTTCACCTTGGCAAATATAGCCTACAATTAATAAGGTCCAAGTAATTGATTTGAATCAATATTAATCTAAATGCCCAATAAAGTTGGTTCGAAATTGGACCCCGTTTTTCATTTATTATTATACTTTCCTGGCATTATTATGATCCTGACTGCAGTTCATCTTAAAGTAATAAAGCTGTCATTTATCCTTTGAACTTTCATAGTTTCCTGATTACTTCAGGTTTGCACACACTGATCTGCCGGTATAGTAAAAATATCACTCTTATCTCTCCATATCTTTTTATCTCCAACGGGGTTTGACTAGATCATTCCTAACCCTTTTCCAATCCAAAAATGTTAAGATTGTGAAGTAGTTTCGCTTAAATGTATAGAAATTGGTCGCTTGCTATCAACATTGTAGGCCATGTACTGTTAAGACTGGAATGAGTCGTCG